CATTCCCCTTCCTCTCCCTCCCAACATCCTCACCTTCTCCTTTCGCGAGGCATCCTCGCCGTCTTTCCCCTTCTTCGCCAGATACGACTGCCGGCCCCGCTCGCGGCACTTGTCGCACTTCGCCGCGTCCAGCTTCTGAGAGAAGGAGGAGAGCTTCAGAAATTTCTTGCAGCCCTTGCACCACTTGAAGTAGACCTGAGTATCGGCGTGCTGCCAGGTGGCCTTGTCGCAGTCCTTGCAGACGTCCTTGTTCTGACGGGGGATGACGCAGTGCTCCCCGGGCGGCAGCCCGCACATGACACAACGCATGTCGTCCTTATCCTTGGCCCTCGGGAAGTTGATCAGTTCTTCGTACATTGGCGCCTCTTTCTTCGTCAGGGAGGAGTAAGGGGGGATGTTGGTGATGCGGTGCGACTGGTGCTTGTTCAGCGTCTCCCACGGGGAGGGCAGGCCGGCCCCGCCTTCGTCGGCGCCTATCCCATTGCTGGCGGCACTCACACCGCCCTGGTCGTCCGCGTTCAATATGGCCGGCATTGGAGGAGGGGTGGACTTGACATCCCCCCCGGGAGAACGGCGTGGGGCGGCAAGAGGGGAGGGAGGGGGGGGAGACCCGCTCCCGTCGGGGGGCACGCCGAAGTTGTTTCCAGGAGATCCCTCGTAGCCACTCGCGTAGGGAGGTGGTGCACCTGCGTGCGGTGGGGGCGGCATGCTCCCGTACAAGAAGGGGGCCTCGTCGCGTCGCCCCATGCTGTACTTGGCGCTTCGTCCGGCCATCGAGACCTTAAAAAGCAGCGCGTAAGGTGGTAGACGCTGGGGGAAGGACTGCTCTCACTGGCCGCTTCCTCCCTGTCGTTCGATGTACACCTTTCCAAGTGGATTTACCACGTGCACCTGACACTGAGACGTGTGTGTAGTCTCCTGAGAGGTGGAAGGAGGGTTGGAGAGTGGGAGGGGAGAGGGTGGTTTAAGTCCATGGGAAGTGAGGCGGCATCGGATGTTCTTTCGGGCCTGACGACCAGTGGAGTCCCGGTAAACGCGACACACAAGCGTAACAACTCAAACATGGGGACACATTCAGTGAGGCTTTCTCCAACAACTGGAAAGCGAGAGGGCTTCCTTTAAGCGGCGGCCACCTCGCCTGTGCCACGTCCCGTCGCTAGGTGGGGGGCACGTCCTTTCCGGCAAAAGTGCATTCCCTAAGCATTCACTGGTTGTCTCAACTGCAGAGTTCTCTCAGAGCCCCGCGGGCATGTGTATGTCCCCCAAAATCACAACGTCCACGCGTAGCCACACCGTACACGGCCCCTCAGACCGGCATGGCTGTGCTTTCTCAAGTGTAACACAGCTCTCCAAAGGGAGCGAGCGAGTGGAGAAAGGAGCACTACGGCCATAGACACACATGCGGCGGGTGGGAAGGAAAGATACTGTTGTCATCCCTCCAGCGCCACGCTGACTGCGCATTCTTGCCAAACATAAAGTCCCCAACCCGCTGTACCACACAACGTATCTCTCGTCGGCCATGGACTACACCATCATGTGAGTGGTATGTTCGTCGTGGGGTGTCCCTAACTCGCTGTAGCGGAGGGTTTCACTCTCCAAAAGGGGAATTCCGCTGAATTAGCTCCTTAGCCAGCGCTCGCTCTAGACGTCAGTCGCTATCTTTCTATTACTTCCACTCAGAACGTGACAACGGGGTGCCGTCGTACTTTTCTTTTCCCCGTCCTTCGTCACGACTACGCAACGCCTCCATACCCATCTGTGCGCTAGATTTGCGTTGGCGCGAAGATAGATGATATACTGACGGCTGTTGGCCTGGAAGGTTTCGTCTTAGGAGAAGTCAGCGGAGATAGCATCGCTGTAAGCAAATAACATGGCCCATGCCTCTGGATATGATTAGCTTCCATCTCCACCCCTTCCACGCGAAGTGCCCTTGAAATGGCCTCAATTAAAAAAAGAAAAATGACGAGCTCGACATCGCACTGATTTTCGTACTCTACTTGTCATCTTTAACAGCCAAAAGGCCTTTCGCAGCACCTTTCCTAATCGGATTTTGTTCTTCGTTTATCAAAGGGATTTGTGAGAATACACTTCAGAGTTTTGCTGCTTTCAAGCATGCAAGGCGGAGAAGTGAGCGATATTGGCTGAATAGTGGTGCGTACTTGCAGTGAGACTGCAATATATCTCCCATCTACCCCGATTACCTCCCACTTGACCCAACATGTCAACGAGTAAGACAAAGGATCAAACGTTCATTGGGGATGTCAACAAGTAAGGCATAAGCTCAATTTTTAATGTGTATTGCACGTTGATACGTTATCCCCATACGTCTTCGCAAGGAGAACAAATACCTTTCAAAATGACAGTTTTGTTGTCTGTTCCTGGCCTTCGTCTCTGTGTGATATATTGACTGCGCTATCACCGTTAAACACTTTCGAGATCCGTAGGACCCTGTAAGATCATTTATGATAACCACACGACACGAAACGAATCTCTTCTACGCGATGAGCTTGTTTGCCAGTAGTCAAGACGTCCAACAAGCAAAGGGAAAAAAGCATAATAGCGAAAACCATAGCTTTCATTTTTAGGCACATGAACATCGACATACTGAAAGTTTTCTAGTTCTTTCAATCGATTTCGTACGCCGGCAAAGGAAGCACGAACAATATCCTCAGCATTTTTTTAAACCTCTGGAGGTCTGGTTAAAAAAGAGCTTAAGCAGTTTGTCAGTCTTTTCCTCAGTTTACTGGTTTTTCCTTATGTTAGCGCGAGGGATAATGTAAAAGAATAGCTTCATATCTTATGTATGTAAATGAGTTTGCCATTACTTTTGGAGGATAGTTTTCCATCAAACCTCTTCCACTCTTCGACGCCGCTTCGCCCTTGCGGACGTCCACATCAAAATCCACCGCGGGTGATTTCCACACAATCAGTCAACTGAACGACACCTGGAAGTTTTTCTGCCAAGCAACGGAAAAAAAATATCTAGATTTACGATATGTCTATTTTTTACCTACTTCCACAAAATAACTTCAATTAGCGAGTCGCTGCTCCCCTCTAACACGGGGCAAATCATTGCCGTGCCTGTGCCTGTGCTCGATACATATATTTACCGAAGCGACGCCACTGCCTTCTAGCGGTTGAACACTCTGAATAGCATTGCTCGTAGTAGGCGTGGTGTGCAGCGCCTGGTGCGGCAACGCCGATGTAAGACATGAGAGCAAAGAAACCTCCTGTCAGATGACGTTTCTACCCCCCCCGCTCACGGCAGGAATGGAAGAGGAGGACGAAACGGAAAATGTTGTCCGCCAGGTACTAGAAGGAATTTTACAAGAGGGGCTACGTCGAGCTAACGCTACTAATATGAAGGCGGCGCAGTGTCTTCGGAGCCTCAATAGTGACCAGAGGGCAAAGGACCAGCTCCTAGCGCCTCTCACCGCGACTTTGTGCGATGTTCGCACGAAAGATGACCTGGAAGACAACCGAAAATGCATCAAAGATCTCATGGAGCAGTATGTAGATAGAAGTTTTCCAAACATCAGTGGTATGCTAGGAGAGAACGATCAAGTAGTAGAAATGGTTGAGGAAGCGGAGGAGGAGCAAGACAAATGGGGAGACGAGGTGGGGGCAACTGAGAATTCTTACTCGATTTTCACCGGCAAGGACGAAAATCGAAATCAAGGCTCGTTCTCTTTGCTTTCGATGTTGGATTTGCCGGAAGTGAGGATGATTGATCTTGGGGCGGTGGCCGCTCAGCTGCAGGGAAGTATGAAGGAGAAGCAGATCGCGGGGTTGAAGGCGCTGGAAACTTCTATGTGGAGTGAGCTGACGTACAGTGAGCATTGGTCAGGCGTATGCGAGGGGTTGGCGCGTCTCGTGGCCGCTTCCACGGAAGCCGTCCTTGAAAGCATCGGAGACAAGGCGAGTGAGGGGCGGGTGCCAAGGCGTGGCGTGCGGGCAAGCGAGCAGGAACAGGAGGGGCAGGGCAAGGACGATTCGGACGTCTGCATGCGTGTGATTAAGATGTATTGGGAGCTCTTCACCTGTCTTTCCCCGGGGCAGCGCGCGGACATCTATCTGGCCGTGGCCGCCGACCTGGTCAACACCTTTCGATCCCGCCTCTGGGTCCTCCCAAACGCGGGATCTCCCTCCCTCCCAGCCGAGGAGGACGTCTCCTCCCCGCCCGGACCCTCCCCGCCCTGTGCAGCCGCGTTGAGTATCGAAGGAACTCCACATGGCCGCCTCCTCTGCGCCAAGGTCGGGCTGCTCCACCGCATGCAGCAGGACCTGCCCTCCCTCTTCCCCCACCTCCCCGACCTCGCCCTCCATCAAGTCCTCGCCTGGACATGCCTCCTTCTCCGGACACTCCATTCCCCTTCCTCTCCCTCCCAACATCCTCACCTTCTCCTTTCGCCCATCCATCTCTTCGCCGCCCTGGACGCGTCGGCCCACTGGTTCAAGTCCTGGTGCCTCCGCCTCCCCCCTCCCAAGCTCTCCTACTTCCTCCAACGGACAGGGCTGCTGGGCGACATTCTTCACGTCTGTCGACCGCTCAAAGAGCAGCCTGGCCATGGAATAGGCCTGGATGATAGTAGCCGCTGGGAAGACAAGGGTGATGACGCCGTTGCCGCCTCCCCGGCTCTTGCCAGCAGGGAGGAGGAAGCCGCAGTGGTGCGCCTCCATCCCCTACCACGGGTTCCGGACGAGCCAGATATCTCCTCCTTGCCCCCCTTCCTGTGCTCCTTCCCCCCCCTTGACCCTCGGGGACTCACTGCTCTCAAACAGTCCTTCTCCCTGAGCCTTCTCTCTCATCTAGGCGCAACCGCCTCCCTGACCTTTCACGCAGGTTCTGAGTCAGGAAAGGCACGAGAAGGCTGTGTCGGCGCCGTTTCTGCCCTATGGGGGGGGGCGGTAGCTCTCCGTGCCCATGAACTTCCCTCGAGACTCTCCGACGTGTGCTTGGCCCCCCCGCCGGCCGCCCCGGCCTGTTCCCCCCACCTCCGCATTGCCACGTCTACGGCCTCTGCCCCTCCCTCGTTTCCTTCCTCTGGCTCATACCTCATTTCCTGCGCCGAACTCTTCCTCCACACGCTTCTCGTAGAAGACACTCCCGGAGAGCACCCGCCAATGCAGGTTTCACTGCCACGGATCCCTTGCATCGCAGCAATGACCCATCCATCTGCAGCAGCCGATTGTCCTGAGCCGCGCGTGTCGACCAGCCATCCCGACAAGACGAAAGACATCGCCTTCGCGCATTTCTCAACCCCTGCTCACAAAAACGTCACTTCGGGGCCCTTTTACCTGTGCCAATCGGCCGCGGCCGCTCTGCTCGAACTTCCTCTGCCGGCTTCCTACCGCATGCACGCTCTGGGCCGCCTGATCGCCAGGCTGCGGGGACCCTGTCCACCCGAAGCCCAAGCTCGGCGTCTGGTGCTGACCGTCCTGGCCCTTCGTCTCTCCACACGGTGTGGCGCCAGAGCGGGCCCGGGGGGGGGCGACGCAGACGGGGTCGGCACGGGACTGGAAGACCTTCGTTTCCTCCACCAGCACGCCGTCCGCCTTTGCTGCACCCGAAGCCTCGCTACCTCCCCGCCCCTGTCGCTTGCGTCGATCAATCTCTTGCAGCGTGTTTATTGTGAGTCTCTCTTCTCCGTATACCGCACCCAGCCGTGCCTGTTCGACGATCTCCCTCGATGGCCTATGCACGTCTTCCTCCCGCTTTTGGTGACTCCCCCCACAGCAGCGACGGAAATCATGAGAGAGGATGACGCAGGGGGGCACACCGGTGGGGCTGGTCTGCCAAATACGACAAAGGGCGGCAGACGCTCGCAGGAGTTCGCCTACGCCTGTCTAGGGTTGCTCTGCTGGGACTACCGAGGCATGCGGTACCTGTCGCGGCTTGGAGGGTCGTTGTTTTATGGGCTGACAGGAGCCCTCTGCACGCTTGTCCTGGACGTGCTGGAGCGGGAAGAGGACGGGGGGGAGGACGACGGCGACGAAAGACGGGGAGACGAGCAGAGCGTCTGCCTCTTCCTCACGCCCTCGCTCCCTTTCCTGCCTATCCTTCTCCAGAACATCGCCAGCGTCGGCCCACAGGCCCCGTTGGCAGGGCTACTTAGTACGCTCTTGGCGTGTCTCTTCCAGGATTTTCCTCGGCGGCACGGACTTCGGTACGCGGAGGATCTGTCCTCCCCCTTGCCCCTCCTGCAGCCCCCCCGCCTCCGCCACACCCTCTGCCTGGCTCTTGTACTCGCGCGCGAATTGGCGAGCAGACCCTTCGAAGGGCTTGAGGACATTGCCGCGCCGCATGTAGCCGTCCTTCTGGAGTGGGAGAAACCGCCGCTCATGCCTGAGCTAGGGGGGGACAAGGCAAAGAGGGCCCTCCCGCGAGAGCCCCGGGGGCGGAGGGAGGGCGTGAGGCCAGCGGTCTGGAAGGACTCCGAGGCCGGGCAGCTTCTCTCCCTCCGCCTTTTGATAAGCATGGCGAGTACTCTGAATGGCGCGGCCTGGCTGGTAGCCACGTTCCCCGCGCTGAATGCTGCTCTTTGTCGTGCCTCGGCCCTTCGGCCTTCCTCCCACACGTCCTCGCCTTCCCCCGGCCGTCCGGGACCACCTGGTTCTCGAATGCATTCGACTTTTGTCAGCATTGGGAAAAACGCTGGCGATGAGAAGGAGGAGAGAGCCGCCGACGACAACCTCTTGGGAGCCCTCTACTTGCGGGCCCTCCTCCACCAAGAGAAGGCCTCATCCGCCTTGCCCCCGCCCCCTCCCTTGCGCGACGAAGAGGAGATAGACGCGGCTCTGGCTGTCCTTTCCGTGCAAAGAGCTATGGATAGTGGCGGGCTGAGGTATGGGTGGGGCGCCATGCCGGTCCACTTCTTTCAGGAGCACGCGGTCCGGAAGCTCGAGCGCGCTGGTAGCCCGCCATCACTGACGCGATTGCTGGAGGAAGGGTATGGGATGGGTGGGGAGAAGAACCACCTCCTCCCTGTGTGCTGGGAGCACGTCCGCCGGCACGTCCATGGCGGGCCAGAACGAGAGTCGGCGGGGGGAGGAGCAAGTAAGGGAAGCACGGACACATGCCAACCAGGCTGGGGACCTGAGGCGAGGCAGGTTGCGCCAGGAGGGCCTTCTACTTGCATCACTCGGGCGTGTCATGTCCAGATAGACATGGTGATCGTGCACGCCGCTCGGTGGGGCCTGTTGCCTGACGAGGAGGCGGAGAAAACAAACTTCCGTCGCTCCCTCCTCTCCTTGGTTCAGGGATCTTCCGGCGTGATGACCGTGTGGGAGCTGAGCATCTGGCTGATCATGGCTTGTGGGAAAGGGGAGGAGGAAGTTCTTCCTTTGCTTCTCTGGGGGCGTCTCCCTCCAAAGCGAAGTCAAGAACGAGGCCTCAGAGATGGACGTGTAGGACAGGACGACGGCGCCTTAGCCGACGAAACTGTCACAGCACTTGATTCACAGATGCCCGAGATAAACGGAGCTCTGACTCAGTGTGGTCTTTCTACAAGGGCGGTGGTACTTAGCTGGTTCACCCACTCCTTCTGGGGGGCTTTGTCTGTCACCGAACTTGCCATTAGCGAGACTCTGTACATCCTTCACGGCCCAGCTATGCGGGTTGGTGTGGCATTGAGCCTCTTCAAGTTCATGAGGGAAGATCTTCTGGTGGCGGCCGCGCGTCAATACGACGTAATTCGTGTGAGTCACATAGTTGAGGCAAGCTTGAAGCGGTTCGAGTTCACGCCCCAAGTAATGGAGGGCTTACGGGAGGCGCACGCAAGACTAGACCAAAAGGTCCAAAAAAGAATGTAACTACGAAAAGACTAAGCAATTGGCAAATCACGGATTTGTGTCGTTGGCACAGGGTAGGGGAGGTTTTCCAGCTCGAATGCTTAGAACGCCACTTGTCGCTTTTTTCGCCGCAAAGCCGTGCTGCCCGTTAAGCGGGAGATCAACAAGGTCCTTGCCATGCTATTGCTGAGTCTCTGGTTTATATGTACATATTTCAGCACACACGCTCTCCCTCACTACAGATTGTCGGGCGGTGCGGGGCCAGGAATTGCTTGGGCAGAGGGTCATAGAAAGCGGCTCCCAGTTTGAGGTGTATCAAGCAAATAGCGATCGAACCTTGATGAGCATGCTTTCCTCACGACGCCGCGCCGCGGTACCAACCTTTGTAATGCTCGGTCAACGATGGCTTGCTGTGTCCCCGTCACCATACTTGCGGGCGTTGTCGACAAAACCGCCCCTTTCCTCGCGCCCTCCCAACCTGTACAAGGCTCCTCCTCCAGGCCCTAAAGCTCCACGAGGCAACCCCCCTCCTCCCGCCGGCCCCGAGCCGCCCGCTCAGAAAGCATCCGGCGGATTCGGCTTGGGCGCAGCTCTAGGCATGATTGTGCTCGCTGGCGGGACTGCCGCAACGGGGTATTACTATGTGCTTGCGGACCAAAATGAGAAATCTCAAATGGAGGGTTACCTCGCGAAAGTCAAGTCAACCGTAGGCCTCGCCCCCCCCTTTGAGATCGAGACACCACCGACTGGAGATGCCACGAGCAATCGAGAAAATGAAGTGAAGAACGCAAAAGGCGATGTTGAAGCAGCTACTGCCGGGGCTGCGGCAAGTGTGAAGACAGAGCTTCAGAAAGCTACGACACGGGCATCACAGGCGGTGCATGCCGTCGAGGAAAAGGTCGCCACCGCACTGCGGGGGGGCAAAGAGGCTCCTACGTCCGGTAGAGAAAATAGTATGGGTGCATCAGTGAAAAAGGGAGGGGCGGAGGATGGGGATGACGGAGGTGCAGAGCTGTCGGAGAAGGTGAAGGAGGCGGCGGGGGAGGTGGAGGGAGAGGTCCGTTCCGCCGTCGAAAATGCCGAGCACCTTGCAGCCCAGATAATCTCTGACATCGAGGATCGTGCGAAGAAGGAGGAAGACCCGGGCGCCGTGGCCACGGAGGAAGGAGAGAACAAGACAGCCGGGGCGCCCACCGAGTCGGCCCTAGGGAGGAAGCAGGCGGAAGCGGCTCTCAAGCACTTTGCCGGCTACGAGTCTCGGGGGAAGGAGCTTCGCTTCGACACGCTGACGCGTGCCGCGGAAGAGGCCTTGGCCCAGGGGGAGGCCCTCCGCAACCACCTGGAGCAGACCCTCCTGAAGGACCTGGCAGTCTTGAGTAACGAAGCCTTGCAACTCAGAGTCGTTCAGCTGGTGGGGGAGCTGCAGGAGCGCACGAAATGGGAGGCACTGCGCTTGCACGAGGCAGTGCGGAAGGCGGAGATGGAGGTGAGCGGGAAATACGTGGAGCTGATCCGAAAATTGCGCGAAGAAAGCGTGGAGGAGGTAGGTCGACAAAGCCGGGCGTTAGAGGCGGAGAAGCAAGTGGCGCTGTTGAAGGCGATGGAGGAGAAGGACAAGGCATGCAAGACGCTCTTAGAGGAGGAGATGCGCTCTTTTACCGCCAATGTGACGGCGGCGTTCGAGCAGGAGCGGGCGCAGGATCGGGCCCTGGTGGAGGCCCAAGCCAAGCGGGAGCTAGAGAACGTCCTGTACGAGAGGGAGACCGGCTACCAAGCCGCCTTGGCCGGGCGGTTGGAGGAGCTGGGGCGGCTCAAGGGAGAGGTGGAGGCGTTGGAAGCGGTTTTTGAGACGGACACGGACTACGAACACGTGTCCTGGAAGGTGCACAGGGTGAGCGCCGCCTTGCTGGCCTTTGAATTGGCGTTACAAAGCTCCCAGCCGTTACGCAGGGAGATCGCGGCCCTCCAGCACGTGACCAAGGGTGACCCTGTGCTGGACGCAGTGCTCGCCGGCCTTCCGCCCGCGGCTTCCGAGGGTGTGCTCACCCCGTCGGAGCTCCAGGTCCGCTTCCCCATGGTGCAAAAAGCGGCGCGAGAGGCGGCTTTCGTCCCCGAGTCGAGCCCCGGGATGGTCGGGCACATGTTCGCCGGCCTTCTAGCGGCCGTCACCATCCAGCCACGGGGTCTGGTGGAAGGCTCGGGGGCCGACGAGACGCTGGCACGGGCGGCCTACCACGTGGAGCGCGGGCACCTAGCCGAGGCAGTGCAGGAGCTGGAAGGGCTGGGGGGGTTGGCGGGTCGGACGGTGGAGGATTGGTTGCAAGACGCGCGGGGAAGATTGGAGCTGACGCAGGCGGCGCGGGCGATGAATGCCCGCTCTGCCTTGTTGAATGTGAGCATGGTATAGAGGGGGGATAGAGGACGGGACGCGAGGGAGCGGGGGCGTGCGAGCGGAGGCGCTGTCGGCGGGAGGGGGAACCCCATAAAGAAGAAGTAGACCACATAGCGAGGAGACAGGGAGGGGCAATAAGCAGGGCCGTGACGCGGCTTGAAAGGCTTTCTTTACATTGTTGGCGGCATCGATGTACATGGTGCTTGTGTCGCCATCATGTCACCTATCTTTGGACCATATTAGCCCCTCCCTGCATCCAGAAGTCCTCATTCAACCCCCCGCCATGCCGCTTCTACTTCCTCTTATAGGTTCTCTCCCTTTCCGTTTTTCTGCCACTCGAGCCACACATCCCGGCCTGCCCCCCTACTCTCTCAATTTGACCTCGTACAGTTTATGTCCGATACGGCACTCCACCCTATCCACCTTAACCGATGCCGCGTACTCCTCCCCCTCCCCCTCCTCCTCCTCTTCCCCTTCCTCCTCCTCTTCCCCCT